GCAGGGAGTTGGACTAGAAGTCCTCCAAGGTCCCTTCCAACTCTGCTATTGTATTATTATAAAGCAGTATTTCATTTGAGACTAGCCGATAACCCGGCGTTGCCTAGGTATTTATTTATAGTGGGGAAATGTCTGGCCCAAACGTAATTTCTAATATTGGATTTTCCCCCTTACCAGAGGGAGCCCCCTTGTGGCGTACCATGAAGCCGTTACCATGGCAACTCGACTGCACTGTACAGTAGAATCCATTTTACAGCAGTACAGTAGAAGCCATTTAAAGGCACAAAAGGCTGCATCTTAACAGAACACACATCCCGACGGGTGTTAGGGGTATCTTACTCCCCCACAGTGTTTGTTTCCAGAGAGTAAGTCCTCTGTGTACCAAGTTTGGTTGAAATTGCTCGAGGCATTCCAGAGTTATGCTGTAACATACACACACACACACACCCATTTATATATATAGAGAGAGATGGAAACACAGGCCTTAAATTTCCGTCTGTCTGGGCTGCAGTTCAAGGAAAGTGCTCTCCTGTGGCTTTCTTTCCAGAGAAAAGGTTTTGTTTACTCATTTTTAATTAACCATTCCTCTCCTGAATTCATTTGTGAATGAAATGAAATGAATTCTTCAGAGCTCAGTTCCGTTTGAAGCCGAAAACATAGTGCAAACCCTTAAGCAAACACAAGGCAGTACAGAAAATACAGTTGGTCCTTGACTCGTGACCACCTTCGAGCCCAACATTTCCATTGTTAAGCAAGACCGTCATTAAGTGAATTTTGCAATTCTGCAATCCCCCCCCCCCCCTGGAAATCCATTCCTACTCCCACGCCATTCGAAAAGTGTTCATCCCAAATTGTATAGCTAAATGTTCGTGGAGATTCTCAGCCATCCAGGTCACGGTTGTCCCAAAGGGGCTTTTTCAGGAGGCAACTGGACTTCCTTGTTTTTCTTTTGAAGACGTTTCACTTCTCATCCAAGAAGCTTCTTCAGTTGACAGGATAGTGGGTGAAGGGAAGGATTTATATTCCTTCCTCCCTTGAATTGTGAGCCGCCGTGAGTCCCCTCAGGGAAAAGGGCGGCATACAAATAAAGTAAATTCTAAATTCTAAATTCCTTGCAGACAGCTGGTAATCTGCATCCTTTTGAAGCACTTGGTGGTCTACAAACTTTTAGCTATACAAAGTTTAGTTCATTTGGCTCAAAGCTCAAAAAAATAATAGTTATGAGGAAAATAAGAGGGTTAAGAATGGTGAAATCCAAATGAAATACAATAGAAGGNGGAAGGAAGGAGTAGGGGATGGATTGATGGATGGATAGATGGATGGGGAGGATGGAAGGAGGGGTGCAGGAGGGAGGAAGGAAGGAAGGAATCATTTTGGAAAATAAGCATCTTACCTGAGAGACAAAAATCTTGGAGGGCAGCAAAGTCACTGGAAGGATCTCTGCTGACCTGGATGACATCAAATTTAGAAATGGAAGAATCTAGAATAGTGGACGTCCTGTCCAAACGCTGCCATTTGTCCAAGGTCACTAAAAAGAAACACAATGTAGAAATTCAGCATTTTGAGAACCATAATTTATATTTGTTGGAATACAAAATGAAATAATGGATCAAAGGAGCTAAATAATCAGCGGAATATGCGAGTCGCAACTAAGTAAAATCATAGGAAATTGTTGTCAAGAAATATGTCTGAATGTTCTACTGAAGGTTATAATTATTGTTATAATTAATTACCATCTCTCTAATGGTCTGTAACCTCCCTTGGTTCTCATCCTTTTATTCAATCCTTTTGATTTAATGAGCCCATAATCCCTTGCTGTGTGGAGTCTGAGCAATTGAATGGAGCTAGCAGTTTGTTTTAATGGCCAGATGCCTTTCCTGTCACCAATGCAGAGTTGTGTCCAGCAGATATATTTTTCAGGGTGCCGAGAGAGAGAAATGTATCTGCCTCTACCTAGGATCGAACTCACCATCCTTTTATTCAAAGTCTGGGGGAAATTCCTCCCACACAGAGGTCTTCCAATACAGACAATCCTCAACTTACAAACCATTCATTTAGTGACCATTTGAAGTTAACAGTGACACTGAAGAAAGGGATTTTTTTAACACTAATGACCGTTGCAGCATCCCCATGGTCATGTGATTAAAATTCAGACACTTGACAACTGACTCATATTTACGACGGTTGTAGTGTCCCGCAATCATGTGAATCACTTTTTGTGACCTTCTCCCAAACAAAGCTACAGAGGAAGCCAGATTCACTTAACAACTGGGTTACTCAGCTGAAGGTGGCTCAGTGGCTAAGAGCTGAGATTGTCAATCAGAAAGGTCAGCAGTTCAGTGGTTCAAATCCCGAGCGCTGCGTAACGGAGTGAGCTCCCATTACTTGTCTCAGTTTCTGCCAACCTAGCAGTTCGAAAGCATGTAAAAATGCAAGTAGAAAAATAGGAACCACCTTTNGGTCTTTCGTAAGTAGATTACAAACCTCAATCTGCTGCAACACTGAGAATTCTGGGAACAGACATCCTTTCCTTTGGAGAACATGCCAAGCAGAGATTCGTTGAATTCCTATTTTTTTTAACCATGTGTTCTGACCAAGGCTTCCCCAGCAGCACTGAAGCTTCAACCACGATACACAGGCAAACAATAGATACAAACTCAAGGTAAACATCTCCAAACCCGAATGCAGAAAATACGACTTCAGCAACCGAGTGGTCAATGCCTGGAATGCTCTACCTGTTGTTACATCCCCAAACCCCGCCAATGTTAACGTAAGACTGTCTCTTACGTTGACCTCACCCCATTCCTAAGAGGTCTGTAAGGGGCATTCATAAGGGCACCAGCCTGCCTACCATCCCTATCCCACTGTCTCCATTCATTCGTACCTATTTACTGTGTTCATATTTATGTTTATACTTATACCTGTTATCTTTTACCTGTTTGACAAACTGCATAAAATAAATAAATGAATAAAATAAATCATAAGTCCACAGACTGAAGCATTATTAACAAAGCATTATATGATTAAACGGTGAAAGCATTATTAATTTAGTAAAGACATAAGAAAGAATGAAGTGCGGCAGATTATAGCAATATTACAAGTTGGTCCTTTCAGTATCTTTTTAAAATTTGATTTCTTGCACGAACAACTCCAGAATTATCAGTTTCGAGTAGTTTTTCATCAAGAAGGAAGGCTTCTCATTTATATCTAATCAAGGGCTGATCTCTTAAAAACCCTGCACCATTACCAAAAAGAAAAGAAAAAGAAGAAAAAAAAAAGAAGACACCTGTCAGTTCACATCTTGCTTCTAAAGACCCTAACAATAGACCCTTTTTTTTCCCTGAAGCAAAGGAATAGAATAAAGAATGACAATGTGGCTCAAGACAACATACACCACTGTTGTGGGTCTTAACTGCACAGCCCTGTGCACCTGGATGAGCAAGATGTGGCCTCTTTTGTGGTAAACTGTAAGCACAAACTGGTTGAGTTAATGCAACCCACACATCTCAGGTGCTTAAGAAATTAGGTCACCCAAAGCGAGAGTAACCATCCAATCATACAAGGCAAGGCCTAATGGAAAAAAAAATATTAAAAAAAGATTACTGCCATTTTTGTGAATATTTTAACGTCAAGCTTGAGAATTTGGTACAATTGCTTTCCATCTAGGGAAACTCCAACACAGGCTGAACCATGTCCTTGCCATGTCTCTTAAGTAAAATAGTGCAGTTGTTAGGTCAATCGTGTAGCCATTAAAAAAAAATCTGGCTTCCCAAGTAGAGGGATTCAAAAATGTTAGCAACCTGTTCTCTGCCCGGTTGCTGGGTGGGCATAGCCATGGTGGGGGTAGCCTACTCAGCCTCTTGCACCAGGGTGGGGGGAATTTTTGCCTTCCCCAGGCTCTGGAGGCTTTGTCTGGGCCTCCAGGAGGTCAAAAACGGCCTCCCCTGGGCTCCAGAGGCTCTCCGGAAGGCGAAAACGGGCCTGTTTTCGGACTTCCAGTAGACCTGTCTTTCACCCTCCAGAGTCTTCCCTGAGCTCCCCACCCTCTGGGAGGGTGAAAACAGTCTCCCCTGAGCTCCAGAAGCCAGAAATGGGCTCGTTTCCATACTTCTTGTACTTCCATTAGACCCGTTTTTCACCCTCCGGAGTCTCTAGAGGCTTCCCTGAGCCTCCAGGAGGGCAAAAAACGACCTACCCCAGTCTCCAGAGGCCCTCTGGAGGCCGGAAACAGGCCTGTTTTGGACTTCCAGAACTTCTGGTAGGCCCATTTTTCACCTTCCCAGACCTTCCACGCGGGCCCTATAACTACCTGGCATGATGAACAGGCCGCGTGGAGACTCCTGGGAGGGAGGGGAGGGGTGGGCAGATCCAGACAGTGTTTGTAACAACCGGTTCGGCAAACCAGATGTAAAATTAGCATCCGGTTCACCTGAACCGGTCCAAACCAGCTGAATCCAACCCTTGGGCTTCCCACATTGGCTTGGCCAGCTTGGAAAGTCATACATGACCCTGGGATGCTGCAACAGTCATAGATACTTTCTGGTTGGTGAGCATCCAAATTTTGATCATGTAACTTAACAGTCATGTCACTTAATAACTGTGGCAGGAAAGGTCGTAAAATGGGGCAAAATTCACTTTGTCTCACTTAGCAATAAAAAGCCTGGGCTCAATTGTGGCCATAAATACTTTACGATATCTAAGAAAGTGAATGTTGGCTATTCAGGTGGTTCTGAAAGGCCTATGAAGCGGTATATAAGTCTACTGCTATATTCTTGGTCTTCTCACCGGGTTGTGGTGGCGTTCCAGAAGTCTGTCCAGGTGAAAGGCTGTGGAGGATGGAACCGATTCTCTCCCACCGGAGGTGCTGCATATGGAACCCCAAGGAAGCTTCCAATGCTCTTCCATTCAGAACCCACTTGAATTACTCGAGAGACGCCCAACATGGTCCCTTGTGATGGGATCACTACTGAAGGCTCATAGTTTCCTTCACCAGTGGCTAGGATCACACCTGCACAGAGATGGGGGAAAAAACCTCTTTGAGAAGAAGCTCTAAGCCTAATGATGCAGGTTTCAATCTGGGGTCTATTTGTTGGACTAAAATTCATCATGGCCAAACCTGCTTATAATCCAAGAGATGCAATGACTATTACAGAGACTCTTCTGTAGGTGTGGCCTGCTTTCCGGGTCCACTGGTGGAACCTCTTCTAACCGGTTCGGTAGATTTGACGAACCGGTTCTACCGAACCGGTGCGAACCGGTAGGAACCCACCTCTGGCTTTTCCCATTGCTTCTTGACTACTTCCAGAAACAGGTGAGGGGCAGGAATCTCCTCCTTCACCACCTTGGGTTCAGAAAAGACTGGGCCCCGAGGCTTTTTTGCTGCAGGCCCATCTGAGGAGCCTTCCTTGGCCCCCTCCCTAGCTCCATCTATTCCCCCCTCCTCTTCTACCTGTTCAGTAGCACGCGCTTTGCGTAGAAGAGACCGGAATAAATTGGGGGGGAATAGTTCAGTAAATGCCGGAGTTTCCGGCTTGTCATCCTCCTCATCCTCAGACAGGTCAGGATCTCTCTGGGATTTGTCCCGTTACTG